GGGGGAGAAGCATCGACCTGGAATCGGCGATACATCGCCGGCAGAAAGGCAATTCGGGGCCGCGATAGCGGATCCTCGCGCTCCTGGGCGGAGTGAGGCTATCAGGCCTTTCTCGATGACGAATGGGGAATGGGGGTCGATGCGCCTTCCCACCCCTGAGCCTATCCCCCCCCTACGTTGCCCCCGAGGGAAGGGAAAGGGAAGAACAGTCAGCCACCAAAGTGACCCAATGAGACGAACAATGCTCGGACGAGCGCGGTGGGGACGCGCTGCTTCCAGGAGGGGGAGGAAGCGGATCGAGGTTCGAGGATCGAGGATCGAGGTATCAAGGATCGAGGCTCGAGGCTCGAGGTTCGAGGATGCACGGAGGGAGGTTCTCGAGTAGCCTGTGCACGGCATCACGGCAAGGAGATATGCGTCGAGTGAACCCGTAGGCGTAGGATTCGCAGGTGGTCGCAGGCAGAGACCTCCAGAGACACCTGGAACGTCCAGAGGCCCCCAGAGGAGGTTCGGCTATCGAGGTGCTTGGACGCTCTTGCGGGCATTTTCTGGACCTCCTGGGGTGCCCTCGACGGCCACGGCATGATCCGCCTCGAATGTCTGTTGGGAGGTTCAAAACGGTTCGGTGACGGATCGTGCGGTGACCTCGACATCCGCCGACCCCTTGGGGTCACGGCGTGTGAAATGCTTCCCCCTCCCCAAACCCCTCCCCTGGGGGCCTGGTCCGGCGGGTTTGGAGGGGCGGGGGGGGGGGGGGGCAAATGCATCATCCGCACACTTGGAGCCTCAGGAGGCCCCAAAACGGGCCAAAAAGGTTCCAAAGGTTCCCGGAACGGTCCAAGAGAGCTACGAATCGACGAAAGATCGCCCCAAAACGCCGAAGATTGCCTCCACACGGCTCTGTAAGTCCCCAAGACGCTTGAAACAATATTACGAGGCGCCCCAAAGTGGCCCTCCAGAAGCAAAAAACGTCCTATCTCCTGGGAAAAACTTACATTTTCACCACATTCGCCCATTCGGCTTCCACGCGGCGCAAAACGGCCCAAGAAGCCTCCAAGATCGACCCTCGCCAGCCTAAGAGGCTCCCAAAAAGGCTCCAAGACGGCGTCCGGGCGATCCACGAAGGCCCCAGAAACCATAGCAACGGCCCAGGAAAGCCGCGGGACGGTCCCAAGAGGGCTTCAAAACGAGACAAGAGGCCCCCCAAGGGCTGTCCGGACGGCCCACGCCGGGGACGATTCGGTCCAAACCGCCCAAGATTGCCGCCAGACGGCTCCATGGGCGTCCAAGACGTTTGCATACGCGACCACGAGGCGCTCCAAGAGGGCCTCCAGAAGCAAAAACCGTCCCGTTCCCTTGGGAAAGCGTGCATTTTCAGCATATTCGCTTCTAGAGCGCCCCCGAGGCCCACAACGGCCCAGTAAACCTTCAAGATCGACCTCTGGCACCCCAAGAGACTTTCCAAAAGGTTCCACGACGGCCTCCGTGCGCCCACGAAGGCCCCAAAAACCATAGCAGCGGCCCGGGGGAACGGCAGGACGGTCGTAAGAGGGCTCCAAAACGTGTCTAGAGGGGCCTCACAGGCGGCTCGCCTCCCATGTAGCAAGGTTCGCCCTGCCCGCCTTCTTGGGCGGCTCGTGCTTCGATCTTAGTAGGTCTCGAAACAGCCGCAATGCTTGCACGCAAATCCCCCGCGCGTGGTCAAACAAATTACGGAAAACATGGGAGGGGATGGCCAGGGAGGGGGGATCGAGGAAGCGAGAAAGAGTGAGGAGGAGGAGGAGGAGGAGGAGGAGGAGGAGGAGGAGGAGGAGGTAAAGGGGGGAGGAGGAAGCGAATGAGGAGGAAAAGAAGGAGGAGGAGGAAGTGGAGGAGGAGGAGGAGGGAGGAAGGTGGAGAGGGGAGGAAGGATGGAGGAGGACAAAAGAAGGAGGAAGAGGAGGAGCAGGAGGAGGAGATCCAAAACAACGGGCTCTGCTCGATGTTAGTTAAAAGCGAATTGCCATGTCGTCCAGTGCAACCTTCCTCATTTGTTTTTCTTCCCCGTCATCCTCCGCAACATATCCAAGGAGGGGGATATGTTTGCCGTCCGGGACGGCAAAGATGTCAGGCGGCGGCCCGTCCCCTGCTCTCTTTCGAATATGAATGGGCGGGGGGAGGGCGGAGGAGGGAGGGAGGAGGAAGAGGAGGAAGAGGAGGAGGGAGTTGACCACGACGGAGAAACGCTCTCCTTGACGTCCTCCTTGGCGCAGGCCGTTGCCTCGAGGCGGCGGTAACGAGAGGTACCCTCCTCACCATACTGTTATTACTTTTGCTCCGCCTCCTCCTGCATGTCCTCCGTCCGCACCGACATCCGCATCCTCACTGTCACACATGGTCCTCCATCCTCATCCTCCTCCTCCTCCTCCTCCTCCTTCCTCCTCCTCCTCCTCCTTCTCCTCCTCCTCAATCCTCCATCCTCCTCCTCCTCCTCCTCCTCCTCCTCACCGGCTCAGCGACGCGGACAGTCTTGTCGAACACCGCGTTTTCCTCCTCCTCCTCCTACTCCTCATCCTCATCCTCGTCCTCCCCCTCCTCTTCCACCCTCCTCGTCCTTCTCCTCCACCATCCTCCTCCTCCTCCTTCTTTGTTTTCTCCTCCTCCTTCTCCTCCTCCTCCCGTCAACATCATCGTATCCGTCATGATCCTCCTGACTTCCACCACCACCACCATCATCATGACCATCTTCGCCATCATCCTACCCATCAGCATCGTCATGGCCGACATCATGCTCACCATGATGATCCGCACCACCATCACCACCACAACAGATTTCATCACCACCCTCACCATCACCACCATCACCGTCACCATCCTCATCAGCTACAGCATCATCATCATCATCATCATCATCATCATCATCATCATCATCATCATCATCATCATCATCATCATCATCATCATCATCATCATCATCATCATCATCATCATCATCATCATCATCATCATCATCATCATCATCATCATCATCATCATCATCATCATCATCATCATCATCATCGTCAACGGTGCACTTATATTGATATGCTGCTCGTCACACCTGCCCTCCACAGCTTCGACGGCACTGTGCCCTTTAAGCATGGGAGTGGTGCGCTTCATGGGACGCACAGAAACCTATATGTCCTCCTTGGAGGCAGGCGCCCGACCTGAACATTTAGTATACCCATATTGTAATAGATCGTTTCCCGAGCGGCGTGGCCAGAAAGCGCCCGCCGCGACGCATATATCAGAAGATTCCTCGGCGCGCGCGTCGCACCTGGGGGGGGGGGGGGGGGGGGCGACGCACATATAGTATAAGGATGTTGGCGCGACGCCGACTTCAACCCGCGGAACCGCTCGGGCCCGCCGGACTCGGCCTGCACCTGGCGGCCGCACGGCGCCCCTGGAGCCGTGCCCGCTGCCGCGTCACACCCTCCCGGAAGCCGTCCCGAGACCGCTTCTGCCAGCAGGGCGACACGAGGGCACCAACCACGTAAACATAAACTTTGGGCGCTCCGCGCGGATGTTTTGCACTCGCGCTGAACTCCCTTCCCTGGCGTGCGGGGCGGGCCAAGGGCGGCGCCAGAGGCGCCGCCGGGGGGCCCAGGCGCGGATCCAAGAAATCCGCGCGGAGCGCCTATGTTTATGTGGCTTTCCTTCTCCGAATGCAGCAGCAGCGGGGGCGCGGCAGGAGCTGACTGCGCGCCCGCCAAACTGGGCAATGACCGGGGGGCATCGGGGGGCCCCAAAGGTGCCCCTGGCCCGAGGTGCCCCCCTGCCTCTCTCGCTCCGCTCTGAAGCCCCACGGGGGCCCTCTGGGCCTAGACGTCGGCAAGAGGGCGCCAGCAAGACTGAGAGGCGCCACAGAAGGAGGAGGAGGAGAAGGAGGAGGAGGAGGATGAGAAGGAGGAAGAGAAGGAGGATAAGGAGGAGTGGAGGAGGAGGAGTGGAGTGGAGTGGAGTGGAGTGGAGTGGAGTGGAGTGGAGTGGAGTGGAGTGGAGTGGAGTGGAGTGGAGTGGAGTGGAGTGGAGTGGAGTGGAGTGGAGTGGAGTGGAGTGGAGTGGAGTGGAGTGGAGTGGAGTGGAGCGAAGTAGAATTCACGCAGGCGGTGCCCACGCGCCCCACACGCCGCACCCTAGGCGCAGCGTGCCCTGGCGGGAACCCTCCTCGTGGGACTTCACGCCGTCTACCTCCTCGTCGACGACCTCCTTCTCCTCCAGGGGGTCAGCCAGGGGGTCCGCCAGGGGGTCCGCCACGTTCGCCGCTTCGCCGATCACCATCTCGGTCTCCGTCGCAGGGGTGGCGGCACGGCGCCGCACCGCATTCCGCACAGCCGCGGCCGCCGCCGCCAGCAGGCGGGCCTGGGAGACGAAGCCCGCGGGCGTCACCAGCTCGTCCAGAAGCACGTCGACATCGGCGAACGGGGGGTACCGCCTCAGCCTCCACGAAAGACTGCAAGACCTCCGCCTCCGCCTCGCCGACACCCGCGATATGGGGGAAGAACTCCACCGCCTCGGCGCGGAGGGACCACGCCAGCAAGATCTCGGAGCTCTCGACGTCCTCTCCCCCGAACTCCAGCTGGACCTCTACCTCCTCGAGGTCGCCCTTGTCCGCGGCGTTCAACAGCCGAGCTTCCAGCCCCGCCACGTGCACCACGATCACCTCGCCGAGTCGCGGCCCAGCCGCCGCCCAAGCTATGCCAGCAGCCGAGGCGGCGGCGAAACCCCGCGCGGGGACGCGCTGCGTGGAGCGCGGCGCTGCGGCGCCGCATCCGCGCCCCTGGCACGCGGCACCCACTCGCCGCCAGCACCAGTGCCGGCCGCGCCGCCGCCTCGCAGTCCTGCTACGACCCGGGGCCGCCCCGCCTCGGGACCGCGGCCTCCGCCGCCGCCAGCCGCCTCGCGCGCGCGGCTCGGCGGGCGGCCGAGGCGCCAAGCGTGACGGTCTCGAGCGCCCGCAGCGCCCCTGGGCCAGCCCGCATGGGCAGGCCCCCCGCAGCCACCACCACCTCGGGGGCCATCGCCGCGGCGGAGGAGGAGGCGCTTCCCCCTGAAGAGAGAGAACGCGGGACCCAACGCTGCCGCCCGCCTGACGCCTGAGGCAGGCTTGAGCCAGTGCGAGAGCGTGGGGTCCTCCTCGAAGATCCTGGGGGCGCCTCGGGCCGGGGGCAGTTCTAGCGACGCCCGAACGGATGAAGAGCGGCCGCGGAGCAAGACCGAAGGGGGAAGCCGCGCTCAGATCGTGGAGCACTTCACGCGCGGTGCGGGCGGCCTCAGGCTCCCAAAAGAGCCGTGCGAAGTGGCCACAAGTCTTTTGGCAAAGCACCCTGGAGGGCGCTGGAGCCAGTTCGGACCAGGTGAGGGCAGGCCCTGATCGCACTGTCCGATCCCAGGTGACGGAGGCATGGAGGTCGTCGGAGCGGCGGCACTATGAGTAGACTCTTATCATTCCCCACCCTCCTGTGTTGGGTTCTCGTTTGGGAAAGAGCTCTGTGGTCGTGTCTCCTCCTTCGCCCTCCCCTCTCCTGCCTCCTGTCTCCTGCTCTACTTCCTGCCTCCTGTCTCCTCGTCCTTCTCATCCTCCTCCCTCCTCTCATTCGTCCTGCTTGCGTTGCAGCCCTGTTGTGCTTCTGCCTCGCGGCTCCCCGGGGGGGTCCTAGAGACGTTCCAGTCGGGTGCGCCTTCGACGATGGCCGCAGCATCTCCTCCTCCTCCTCCTCCTCCTCCTCCTCCTCCTCCTCCTCTTCCTGTTCTTCCTCCTCCTCCCTCCTCCTCCTCCTGCTCCTCCTCCTCCTCCTCCTCCTCCTCCTCCTCCTCCTCCCCATGCCGATGGCTTCCGCAACCCTTGGGGGCGGTCGTTGTGCAGGGCGCATGGGGCGCCGGTAAAGGGCGTGCGCAAGGCGCTCGCCCGACGAGCACCTGCACAATGTTCCCTGGGGTTTGGAAGTCGGGGCGACACCGGCACAAAAGGTACTTCCCGCACTTCAACGACGACAGACTCCAGCGGCAAGGCTGGACGTCCTGCGCACCTTGAGGTCTCTGCCTCAGTGGTTCCACTCCGGGTCACTACCTCGAGAACTACACTTAGAGGTCGTTCACCTCGAATTCGTCACCTCATTACATCTCCGTCGAGGTCTTCACCTCGAGGTCTTCACGTCGAGGTTTCCAATTCGGGATTTTCACCTACCTCGAGGTGTTTTCCTTGTGGCATGTATGTTTGAACTGGGACAATTAGGTGGAGCGCGGTCCCATTTCTCCCCTAGGGCCTCTATGGCCCTCCCCGCGTGCCTGGGCGACAATGGCGTGGGATCTACTGGCCCCACCTGCCGGCCAAGCACGGCCCTCCCCAGGGAGGTTGCATTACGACCGATGGCCATTACCAGAGCGGTAATGCTCGGGCACGCAGGTGGCCACATCCAGCTGGCTCCAGCTGGCACCCCACCTGTTTTTCTTTGGGGGGGCCGTTTCGGCGGCCGCTTGACGGCCGCAGTGCCGTTGCGACCACCGCGGCCCTCGACATGGTCGGATTTCGCCATTTTGACAGGCTCGGCAGGGCCCTCCTGGGGGAGGTCAACACCAGCGGACTGTCGGCGCCGACATTCTGGTCCCAAAGAAATCGTCGGAGATGTTGACCTCCAGGACACAGCCCGGCGGCAATGCCGGCGGCCCCACACACTTTCCTTATGAAACACGCGTTTCCAGGACACGGCGCTGTCCCTGTCAATCGACACGTCGGTAGCTTTGCTCTCTCGGGCACAGCCTGGCGGCAATGCCGGCGGTCCTGCGCATGTCCATTTCCTTGCGCGAGGCATGCGCCTCCAGGACATGGCCCAGTGATAACGCTGGCGGAGCTTTCTTCACGTCGGAGGTTTTGCCCTCCAGGACACAGCCCGGCGGCAATGCCGGCAGTCCTGCACTTACCCTTTCCGAGTCGCGTGCTCCCGGGTCACCAGCGATATTGTTGACCTTGCTTCAATCTGGCACGTCGGAGGTTCTGACCTCCAGGAAACAGCCGGGCGGCAACGCCGGTAGTCTTACATGCCTTCTTTACGAGGCACGCGTCTCCAGGACACGGCCCGGCGCTGCGCGTCTCGCAGGCTGCTGCGCGGCGCGCAGGCATTGGTGCATCAGGCTCACGCCACGGTCTGGAAAGGGGAGCCCCTAGTCGCCAAGTCGTCATGGCGATGCCACCCTCTCGTGCTGCGCGGGTCTCACGGCCCGCGCCTGCACGCGCCGCGTCACCCTTAACCTCCACAGCTTCTCCTCTCTCCTCCTACCTCCCCTCGACCTCGAAGGATTCGGAAGATGCTCACACGCTTCGTGCGCCCAACGCGCTGGAACACGGAGAGAGCAGTGGAATACTGGCGGGTTCACTGTGGCTGGCGGTTCCGTGGCGCATTACACCCCGCGGGAAAAGGCACAAGAGATGTGCCCAATGAAGATAACCGCGCCCAGGAGCGAAGGGGACGAGGATGAGCTCCCAAACCTCATCCCTACACCTTCCCCCCTCCTCAGTGCCGCTATGTGGCTCAATGCTGATACTTAGGCCGGTGGCTCGTATTCTGGGCCACCTTTGGCAGGATGCGTTCGGGGGGGCCATCGGTGAAGCTTTCATGTGGTCCGACATTCCAGTGGGTGCCTGGACCCCGCCCGGGGAACTCTTGCGCACGCGTTCGACCGTCGAGTGGCATCTTCTCTCGAGTCAACTACCTCGATGGGTTCCCAGAGGTCGCGCAACATGGAGCTCACCGCGAAGCCGCCAATTGCCGAGGAGCTCCCGGCAAAAACTTGCCAACAAAACCAGCGGCCCTGTACGCTACTACTTTCCTGGGTTGGTCGCGAGGCAACTACCTCGAGGACAGATGCACGCGGCAAAGCCAGCGGTCCTGCAATCGCTACCTCCTGGCATCAGGCTGGCGGGAAGACTGGGGTGCGTGCGCCCACTGGTTGCCCATTCGTGCCATCGTCGCGAGGCAGTTGCCTCAAGGGCGAAGCTTGGCGGCAAAGCCAGCGGCCCTGCAAGTTCTCATACTATTGGGCTGTTCGCTACCTTCTGGCTGTAGGCTGGCGGGAAGAGTGGGTTGCGTGCATCCACAGGTTGCCCATTCATGCCATCGTCGCGAGGCAGTTGTCTCAAGGACGAAGCTCGGCGGCAAAGCCAGCGGTCCTGCAAGCTCTCACACTCTTGGGCTAATCGTTCTCTTCTGGTCATAGTCTTTCGGGTAAACTGGGATGCGTGCGTCCACAGGTTGCCCATTCATGCCACCGTCGCGAGGCAGTTGCCTCAAGGAAAAAGCATGGCGGCAAAGCCAGTTGTCCTGCAGGATCTTGCCCTCTTGGGTTGATGGCTACTATCTGGGTGTAGATTTGCGGGGGGAACTGGGATGCGTGCGTCCACCAGTTGCCCATTTATACCGTCCTCGCGAGGCAGTTGCCTCAAGAACAAACCTAGGCGACAAAGCCTGCGTTTCTGCAGGCTCTCATCTCCCCGTGCTGATCACTGTTTGTTGGCCGCATCCGGGCGGAAAGGCCTGGGTGCAAGCAACCGCAGGTGTTCAATGACGGGGCTTCGCGCATCCTCAGTTCCTGCACGATTACCCTCGTCGCGAGGCAGTTGCCTCAAGGACGCGCCTGGCGGCAAGGCCGGTAGTACTGCACATTTTCGCGCATCCCCTCATTTCCCTCTCCCCCCTCCCTCTTCCGCCGCTACCTGGCGACAAGGCCGGTCGCGTGCATCCTCAAATCCAGCACGCTGGCCCCTGTCGCGAAGCTGTTGCCTCAAGGACGCACCCGGCGGCAAGGCCGGTAGTCCTGCACATTCTAACGTGCCCCTCTCACCCCCCCCTCCCCGTCCTCTTTCCGCCGATCCCCGGCGGCAAGACCAGGATTCGTGCATCTTCAGATGTTGCACGATTGCCCCCGTCGCGAGGCCGTTGCCTCAAGGACGCGCCCAGCGTCAGCTGTTAGTCCTGCACACGCATACGCCTCACCTCATCCCCCTTCACCCCTCCATCTTCTGTCCTCCTCCTCGTCGTCCTCCTCCTCCTTTTCCTCCTCCTCCTCCCTCCTCCGCCCCTCCTTTTTCCGCCGCTTCCCGGCGGCGAGACCAGGATTCGTGCATCTTCAGATGTTGCACGGTTGCCCCCGTCGCGACGCCGTTGCCTCAGGGACGCACCCGGCGACAGCTGTTAATCCTGCACACGCATACGCCTCACCTCATCCCCCTTCACCCCTCCATTTTCCGCCAGTAACATATGTCTTCCTCGCGCCCGGAGGAATCCCAGTGGCCCCGACGCGGGGTGGCCTGAGCAGAGCGGCCGAATTTCGTAACGATTTCGTTGCGCACGCCAGCGTTCAGGAGAACAGGTGTCCTCTCAGAGTTCCAGTGGCCCCGATGCGGGGTGGACCCCGAACTTTCTCAGTAAGATCCGTTCGGGGTTGGTGGCGTTACGCCCGCCACTGCTTCAGAGAACAGGCGTCTCGGCGGACCCCGAGCTTTGTTTCTCCTGACCTAGTCTAAAATATTTCATAATAAGTCCACACCCGAGCAGATAATTACGCGACCGAGAAACCCCACATACTTATAGCATGGTTGGAATGATGATAGCTGAAGTGAAGCATGTGAGAATGATGTTGGTGGCCATTCCCTGCGCACCCCCTATGGTGTCGAGAAAGTGCAAGTACCTGACCAAGCGCAGCCTCCTTGCATCGTCGTCGCCTCGCTGACGCGGCAAATTGTTGTACCTGGCGAGGAGCGTCCCAGGCCACCAATTCAGAAGCCGTCGCTGGTAAGCATGAAACGCGCTGTGTACCAAAACGTTCCCATGCCTAACAACATACGCGCACAAACCATCTAGGTTCACCCCCGCGCCCATCTCCAACATTGTGTTTTTGAGCTGTTCGCACAAAGGTGTTAAAGGTGGCAACGCGGTGATGGCGCATTTGGGCGCCACGACAAGGAAAGTACCTTTGACGGACAATC